TCATTAACAGTTGGGTTTATTTCAACAGTAAATTTGAAACTCTTGCCTTAGACAAGCAAACTACCAGTGATTGTATCAGGAATAGACATTTCCTACACTGTCAAATATATAAAAGTTCCTTTTGACTTTCCTCAACACTGATCAGCCAACAGATTCAGTCCACTTATGTTTGATTAACTACTGAGTTAACCCAAGCTTCTTCTTCAGAGACTCTGGCATCTCAGGTGGAGGAGGACGAGGGAGTCTGAAGTAGACCTTAACGGAGTCATAGATGAACCACTGCAGAGCAGTCAGAGTTCCAATCATGATGATACGGGCAAACAGTCCCTTCCATACACCTGGTTGAAATATGAAACAGGAGTGAAACACACACACAACATACCTATTTAAGTGTTTTTCTTTAAAGAAAAAAGACATCCTACCTTTAAATCCAAGTCTCAGGAGGACCTGAGAAGCAGTGCTACCTTTCTCCTTATTCAACACAGACACCACAGAATCCGCAGGGTGGGAAACAATTGCACAAAAGACGCCAGCTGAAAGAGCCAAACAGGATCCAGTATGAACTCAGGTGAAGTCCAAAGATACCCATTATCCAAACTGCAGCCTACCTTTCCCAGTTTTTATGTAATAAAATTCTCTTTTAAAAAGCCATAGAAGATCCCTTAAAAGTATTCATATTCCAAAAAAAGGTATCCATATTCAAATTACTCATGACTTCCTTCTTCTTACATTAAATTTGTTCTAGAAAAACTACTAAAGTCATGAAGAGAGTGAGAGAAAAACGTGTCAGGATGGCCAAGCGGTCTAAGAGAGTGAGAGAAAAAAACAAAACAAATCCAGATGGTGCAGCAGTGAACCGATTTCCAAAGTCAGAAAAAAAAATGTAAAAGATTTGGTGGTTGTGGAGATAAATATAGTCCCCAAACTAAGCAGGAAAAGCAAACTATAAAACCATCCTTTTAGCAAGTATGAAATTCAAATGGCATATGCAATGTTATGTTAAGATAAATACTGCAATGAAACCTCCTTCCTCCAAGAAGTCAATAATAGAAATAATTCTTTGTCCTTATTTCGGAG